ACTCGTCACCCTGATCACTTTGGTATATATAACCCTATATCTGACTCTTTTAGTTTTAGGACTTACAAACAACCGTTATGTGAACAAAACTATAATACCCTCTTTAGCGAGAGTATAAAAACTCTGACGCAAAAATTTGCGACTGGTGTGAAAAGAGTCTGTGAGGTATTTGCGGTGCCCTGAGTACGAATTTGAGTTCAAAAATTCTCCATCATGTACAGTTATTTTTGTCATTTTAATAAATAGTGGTGGTTTGATCTCTACAGCCCTTGACTATAACATAAAAACTCCTACGTCTTGGGAAATTATTATTATAGTTTTCAGTTTTAGCAACCCAAATTAACTAGAAACAGCACAGTCGCAAAATGACTGTAAACTGGTGTAATCCACTCCTACAATTTTTTTCTGTAATATAATTCAACTTCTATCTTCTCTTACTTTACTTTTCCTCTTCCTCAATTTCAACTGTTTAAGCTCAATACTTCAAAACATTCGCTACAATTATTATTTAATTATAGCCAGCTTGCTTAGAGTTTTCTTTCAGGATTAGATCCTCACAACAACTCTTTCAAAATTTGTGTAATATTTAATAGACGATCTTGTCCGCAGCGATTATTTTATTATTTTAACAACCATGTCATTACATCGCCGCAAAGTTCCCTCTGAATCAAATACTAGTGAACTAATAACATTTTTATATTCCAAACATTATCAGCGTTCAGGTAATGTTTCCATTCCGCAAACATCAAGTAGCCGTTCTTCTCGCCTTCTTAAATTTACCACAAATTTATCCTGACAAACCATCTTTTAGTGTTTTCCTCTTAAGAACAGTCCTCATTCGATTTGATACATTTATACCAGCGCTTCTTCCAATCGTCGAAACACTCATCAAACTGGACTGTGGGGATAGCCTTTAGTTCTTTCTGCGATTTGCATTTATCTTTTCTTTTGTTGTAAGGTTTTTTATTTTTGGAAATTTTGGAGATTATCTGGGGAAAACATAGGCTGGGGAATTGTTAGAAAATTGCTTTTGTCACCTTTTAACAAACAAAATCGTCAAGCTCATAAAAACAGGTTATCAAGCGTAGCGGCTGCTACAGATGAAGCAAGCAATGAATGAAGCTAAAAATTGTATCGCACTTTAGCATGGTATTGGCATGCATATTAACATAATAAAATGAATTTTCCATGGAATCTCCAAACCCGCGAATTTTAATTTTAGAGCTTCTCGTTAATTTTTGAACACATCACATTTCTCTTTTTATATCATTTCCAGTTATTAGCACTTATATTTTCGCAACGTCACAAATGAAATGCCTTAAGTTCCTACTAATCATTATTCGTTTAATTTCTTGTTTACAAATGAGAGGTAAAACTGGCCGCAGCATGCAATCATTAAACACGCTCTAACAGAGATGTCTGTATGCTTATGTTTGCAAGGAAAACCAACACATCTGAATCTCGATTATTTCATTATCGCATTTCGCGAAATTATAGATTGCCTTTTGACCTATGATTTTTGAGAGATTATTTCCCCATTATTCCGCTAAATACCTTGGTACACATTGTAAGCCTAGTGCTTAGTTTCATTATGATTTCATGTTACAAAATGAATTAGGGACATTTATTGAGTTGAAGAGAGGTATTCTTTGAAAAGTGCGAGGGGAGCACCAATCGTTGGGATTTAATGAAAGACAAATTGCGTACCGATTCAATTTGATTTCTACTTAATTTTTTGAAATATTTTATATTGTCTTTCTAGAGATAAGTATGTATGGTATATATAAGTATATTAAGTGAAAGTGAAGAAATCCCTATGTAAACTTGAGTTACTCCGAACCATATTTTATCCTTAATTTCTTACTTATTAAACTTCATTGCAACATCTCATATGATGATATATGTTATAATCATATTACTTACACTAAACGTCTCAACAAGTTTGGATAAAAGTCATTCCATTGAATATATGGAGACTAGTAGAAATGCTTCATCCATTTTCGGCGTTGAACCAGATTAGATACAGGTCTGAAATTATTTAGTTTGCCAAAAAACACGGTCACCAATTGTTATGGCATTATCGAAGAATACTGATTTACTAATTTTTGAAGAAAGATTTCATGCGGTACTCTTACCTGTTTCGTATCGTTATTATGGTTATTTATCTATAATATTTCGGTTCGGTTTTGCTAACTTTGCAACTTTACTAAAGGTAATTATGGAAAAGTTACGTACCATTGATTCAATTCTTTCCTTTGTTGAAAAGCCGCAATAATATGATTTGACGAAAATCATTTTAAACACCGCAGGTCTACGCCGATATTGAGACTATTATAGGCCAGAGAGCATATTTTCATTGTTTGAGAGCGCAACTTCGTCTAAGCAGTTAGTTATTAAAAATGGTAGGATGAAGGCAGTAATTAGTTCTTAAAAAATCTAGGATGAAGGCAGTGATTGTGTATACCATTTGAGATAACAGCTAATGGCCATCTTTTGCAGCAATTAACCAACTAAAAGTTGTGATATTAATTAGAAGCAACTGAATACGTCTGTAAAGGAAACTACAAGAACCAAGGCCTTTTATATTCTCGAAGTAAGATAAGCATGACGGATTTTAATTTGAATTAAAATTCCTTCAAATTTCTACACCTTAGGCCCATGTTTGAACTAGAGTTTTAATTCCAAATACGTTAAATTCAACATGCCTAAATCTTTACAGTACAATGAGTAAGCAAATCAACTTTTATTATCTAAGCTAGATGTCTGTAAGTGAAATAAACTTGTAGCTAACGCTTATACTAATACTACAATACAATATATATAAATATACAATATACACAATATATGTGACTTCTAAAGTTGCTTTTCGGTAACAAGAAATCATCAAAACCGTAGAATGGATTTCAAAAATGTATACACAGGGTTTGTTCGAAAAGTAATAGGACTGATTTTCTTCTCCCTACAGCGGAGATGTGCCCTCCCAGACTCCTGGATCCGTATACATATATATCTTAGTAAAGTTTTCAATTACCTTCTTCTTGGCCTTTCTTCTTCAGATTCTTCTAATGTGTCCATTCAACTTTCAGAGTATTCACAGTGAAACCAAACGAGATTCGTTCTTATCGCTTATCATAGCTGTTAAAGCAGCATCCACCAGTTTAATCAGTGTTTTTATGTGTATAAATACGTATACGTTGGATTGCAGGTGCCGACTTTTCATTCTGGATTTTAAGTGTGTGGTTTAATGATTACAGCACTTACTTTTGCGGCGCGCTACGAGAGATGTACGAGAGCGTTATCGACCGTTGAGAAAAGCGCTGCGAGAGCAATATTTCGAGCTTCAGTGACTTTTGTTTACACATAGGAAGCAAATAGTTTTTATTTATATATGATTTGTATTTATTTATATAGTGAAATAAGCATTCATATATTGGGATAGATACAGCAACAACAGCTTTCAAAGAGAAACAATTCATTATAGTATTATTTAAGTCATGTAATATAACTGTTATTGAATCTCTTTGGCATAAATACAATTTTTTCTGTGAAAATTAATGAGTTTTGACTTTTTTTATAGATGTTCAACAGGTAGATTCATTTGATCGGGCCCTTGTAGGGTGCTCTCAGTCAGCAGCGCACAGTGCTTGGGCCTCAACTTGTTTGCTACTTACGAAGCTGGCTCATTGGCTTAAGTGTGCACTTCAACTTGTTGCAGCCAAGCAAACCGCCGCAATCGCTGTGAGTTGCTCGTCGTGTTCGGGCTCTTGGTGTGGTGAGGTGCGTGTCGATTTACGCAGAGAACGCATGATACAAAAATAGAACGGATACAAACATACACACCAATGAGAAAGTTAATTAAGTGAATTCCACAAAAAAATATCAAAATCAATAAAACAAAGGATCTCAGTGAGCAAGTGATACATACTAAAATTTAATTTTGTAAAAGTACAAAAAAGGGTCTTGCTTTTGCGTGCGTACCAAATAAGTGAAATTTTCGGTGGAAATAATTTTTTGTTTTTATAAACTTTCACCGCTTGTTGGCGACATTTAGTTGCATTTGTCGATATAACACTTGGCTTTTGTTGTTGAACTCAATATCAGTAAAAACTCAAATTAAACAAGTGCAGTTATGCTGCAGCTCCTGCTGCTTTTTACTTTACTACTCCCTTACGTCTGTCACTCTCAAGTGCCGGCATCTCCTTGCGAGTCGCGTTTCAGCTACGTACACGAGGGCAATGAATACTTTGGCCAAATCAAATTGGATCGCTTGGAAAGAGGACGCACCGAGATTAAAGTGGCATTCTCGCAACGTGATCCATTAACTTCCGTAAGTATGTCAAGTGTGCAGAAAGTACATCAAGACAAAAATTGTTACTTGTTGTAATATCAAATACCAAAAGTCCAACACAAATATCTTTGAAAGTATTCTGGGCGCAACGATCTTCAATATAAAAAGTTTTCGTTGATCCAAACAGAGTGCGGCCAAAGACAGCATATACAAGTTTTTCTAGTTACACATATATGTAGTTGTAATATAGTACAAGGATTAGTAAACAGAAACTCCGATTGCATGCTTTTAACAATAAAAAATTGAAATGTTCAGTAATTAGCTATTGACCTAGAGGTTTTCAGACCATCGCGGCTTTCCAGCAACGGCAGTCAGTCTGGTATTACACAGCAGAGCAACAATGCGGTTCTTGAGCTAGTTAACAGTGCGCTCAAGACTTAACGAGGAGCTCTCGTTGCCTTTTTTTGACAGATCACGGGTGAGTCGTGACAAGCTCTCATGTTATTTTTGTTCAGAATTGTTTGGCATTTCGTGATGGAAAGACTTACGCCTAAACATTGTTTGTAAATCGTTAAAATTTATTACGAAAATTCACTTTGTGTAAAGAATGTGTTTCGGGCGATTCGCTCAACTTATGGCCAATATATTCGGTCTACTCAGCGTACTATTCGTAACAATATCACCCATCTTGAGCCCCAGTATTCGTTATTGGATAATATTTCACCGAATCGACTACATCCAGCACGCAGTGAAGAAAATATAGCAGCCGTGGCTGAGGGTGTATACGAAGACCGTAGAGAGCCGATTCGGCGCCGTTCCCAGCAACTCGGACTGACGTACGGAAGGACTTAGCACATTTTACTTCCAGATCTTAAAGTGAAGGCGTATGAGAATTAATGACGTTCTATTTCATCCAGAAAAACAACGGTTTTTTGTGGTTTGTGGGGCGGCAGAATCATCGGTCCATATTTCTTTAAAAATAATGCCGGTGAGAACATAACTTTCAATGGTGACCGTTACCACGCCATGAGACCCGACTATTTGATGCCTGAAATTGAAGCTCGGGAATATTTGGTTTCAACAAGACGGCGCAACTCTCCACGCATTGCAGCAATGAATGGATTTTTTAAGGGAACACTTTGGTTATACATAATTGCACGTTTTGGGCCGATCGATTGGACACCAATATCGTGTGATATAACACCGTTACAATTTTCCTGTGGGAATATGTGAAGCTTTAAGTCTTTGCGGACAATCCCACTTCTATTATGGCCTTGGAACAAAATATCGCGCTTGTCATTCGTCAGTTCCCAGTCGAAATACTCGAATAGAGTATCAAAAACGTGGCCACGGCCAACATTTGAAAGAGATAATTTTCAAAAAATAAATGACAGAAAATGTTCTTTCGAACGATAATAAACTTTCCCCATTAAATTTGATGTTTCTGGTTTTTTCTTTAAAAAGTCCCCTCCCCTTAAAATATGCGAAGAACATTAATCTGAAGATAGTTGCAAAACTGGATAAATTTATTTCGGAAAAAGTTTTACTGAGATTCAATCCTCCTAAGAGATTTGGACATAGTTTTATAAAGCTTAGTTAGAACTAAAGATACAGAAGCTATTTTTAAACTTTGCCTTTTTGTAAATGAAGTAATAATGTATTCAATTCCTTCAATCATAAAGAACTACTACGGCCATATTACACCATATCCGGAAGGGCCACTGCAAGTGAACCGAGTACCGGCCTTATTTCGGGTTCATTTTCCGAACCCGAGCAAACCTCCGAAATTAACTAAACTCAGCATCAATGGAAATGTAATCTGTTCTAGCTCTCGATGTATGTATAAAATAAATAAATTCACATACAAACACGCCCTCAAGTATGATAATTTTTTCACAGATTCAGCGCCAAGCAGTTGGTTTGAGCTAACATACACTGTAAATGCCCACGGTGGAAACCCATCTCCCCAAACAATAGTGGAAACACCGACCTACGCAACGGCACCCCCAACTTACACCACCTGGGCCCAACTACTACACAACTACACTACGGTGCCAGAAAGACCAGTGTCCACGCGTGCACCGAGCACCGCATCCCCACCACCCATGACATTCTCCAATATCTTTCTTACGGAACGCTTTCAGCAAAATACCACTTTTACCTGCGGCACTGAAGGTAATGTCGTCCGTCCGTTCCTACATGGCGGCAAAGAGTTGGTTCGCGGACAATTTCCTTGGATGGCAGCAGTTTATCGTAAGGAGACAGTGCATAGCCTATCTTACATTTGTGGCGGCACATTATTGTCGCAACGAAGTGTTGTCTCAGCAGCGCATTGTTTTCAAAACCTGCCTGCCACACAGGTGGCACTCTTTCTCGGTCGCACAAATTTGGAGAGTTTTAGTGAGGATGGATTTGTCACGCGCGATGTTGAACGTTTGATTATACATCCGGATTATAATAGTCTGCCAGACGCGGATATTGCAGTGATGCGTATGGCGGCTATAAGCAGGTGAGCTCTAACTTTAGGAGACTTAAATATTAGGACATTTAATATTTGCAAAATATGCATTTATCAAAAGTTATTCGTATAAATAATAGTTGAGAATTAAAGAGGAATTATTGTAACATGCTTGTTTAGCAAGATATGTTAAAAAGATTTTAGAAGTATGAACTAAGTCCACTGCAAACATAATATTTTATCCAGTATAAATGAACCTAAATTCTCAGATATGTATATAAATTTGTAATAACCAGAAGAAAATGTCGAAAACCTTACAAAATGTGTTCATAAATGATATTAAACCGAAGAACTATCCTCAGATTTTGAGATACCGCTCTGAAATATTCAACGTCCAAAATTAATTAAAAAACATAAATTCTGTTGGAGTGGAGAGTAGAGATAGATATAAAACCATTCAGCTTCAAGTTTTTGCCAGTAGATTTTCTAACCATTTTTTAATTGGGTTGGAAAAAGTGAAGAAAGTAAAGTAGATGAGCTCAAACAAAAGGGTTACTGGAACCTTATTACCTTGAAAGAAGCACTTTGAAGTTCTTCTGATTACCTTCTGAAAATATCTTGGTCAGATTGGCTTGTCGCCCTGATCTTATTTGGCAATATAACAAATCAATATTACGTACATGTCGACTCTTCATGACCACAAATACTATACAAACCTAGTAACAAAATTTGTGCACTATACCATTAACCACTCATTTAAATATAACCTAAAGTAACTTCTTACGAACTGTTATTATTTAGCCGTGTATCTGAGAGTCCTCTAGCAGTTCGGCCAATCAAAATTTAGCAATTTAATTGTTGTTAATTTGTATATATAATATTTCCTTCCTTCCACACAGTTACACCGATTTCATTCGTCCCATTTGCCTGTGGACAGAGTCGACACAAGTCTCACGCGTCGTTGGCCTCTCGGGTACTGTAGCTGGTTGGGGCTCCAATGAGAATGGCCAGCTCGTCTCACCGATCGCCAAGAGAGCACAAGTGAAAATCGTTAGCGAAGTGGATTGCATACGCTCTTCGGCGGTTTTCTCCAAATTAGTAACGAGCCGCACATTTTGTGCCGGGAATCGCGATGGTGTGGGGCCCTGCATGGGCGATTCGGGCAGCGGTTTGGTACTACAACGCAACAACCGTTGGATGCTGCGCGGCATAGTGTCTTTTGGGCAGACTAATCGAGGACAGTGCAACCTGTACGAATATGTGGTGTACGTTGATGTGGCGCAGCATTTAAATTGGCTAGAAGATAATATATAAATGATGTGAAGACAAACAGTTTAATTATAAAATTTATTTATTTATTATTTAAGTTTTAATTTAAGTAAATACTCGTTGAAGTATTCTTTAAGGAAACGAGGCATTATAATGCATTACAAAGGCAGATGCAATAAATGGAAAAAGGGCCATCGTTTTGTTAAAATAAGGTTTTATTAGCGATTATCTATTCTGATCTCGGTTCTGTGAAGCTTAAACCTGTGAAGATGAAACCTAAGTATATCCCGGCATAACCAGGAAAACATTAATAATTGGGCTTGGTGCAGTCTTCCTAACTTTGGCAGCATGTGAACATAAACTTCTCTAAACCTTCAACCAGTGCAGATGAATGTAATTTTTAACTTTACTCAATTCTCCGCCCATAATTGCTCTAATAACTATGGTGTGTCATGGGTCAGTGAATTTCATATTTTTATTTTATTTTGGTCGGAGATATCACTTTTACTATGATGAACATGAACTGCTTTCGTCGAGCGTTAAGTGGATTCTGAGACAACGATCCGAAATTTTTCACTGGTCTGTTTTTTCCGAGAGGCTGTTCTTTTGTCGGAACCTCCAATATTGACACACTGTGACAATCAGCTGACAGATAAGCTAATCAACCGAAATCAAATTATTGCATAGAAAACTTTTTTATTTGCGATTTCGAATCATGCTGATCATTACTGTGTACTACTTGTATATATAATATAATATAAACGACCGTTACGTATGTATGTACAATAACTACTTCAAATGCTCTCTTCAAGCAATTACACGATCAGTCGTCTAGATTCGTTTGAATGCTTCAACTTCTGGTACTTTTGCTTAAAGTTTTTACGCAAAGAATTACTGTCATTATTCGTCACAGGCACCGCGCCCACCTCAATCAACTGCCACACAGTCGATGTGTAATCGACGCTGCAGATCTTAAAACGAAATTTTCAACAAATTTTTGTCTCAAAAGATTTGCCAAGTTCAGACGTGCCGTCATTCGTTGTGATCAGCCCGTTGCGTCCAGTTGCCTAATAATCGTGTAGCAGCAGTTGTGTGGCTGCCGTGGTCTGAGTCAGGTATTTCCCACCACTAATCAAGTGTAACAACAAACATAGTGATATTTGTTAGCAGAGCCAAAAAATAAGTGCAATCAATTATAGTGCGAGAAACATTTCAATAAATCGTGTATGCGCTGCGTCGTTCGTGTGTGCTTATAACTTAGAGTGGAGCGTTGTTTATAATCTTCAGTTTACTAGCGAAGATCAGCAGCTCAAGCATGTGTGCTACAAATTTACACTCACTCATCTTTATCTGCAGCATTACGACGCTGTTACGCTCTGCGCTCGCGCAGGTGGCGCTCCCGCCGATCGCGTGTCCCCAGTACTTTCAATATGTGAGCGATGGCTTCGTGTACTATGGCTTGATTACATTGCCGCAAGTACCAGTGGGCACGGCAGATGTGCGTGCGCATTTCTCTCAGCGCGGCCTACCCTCGTCGGTAAGTAAGCGCATTTTGGATTACTCATTCATGAGAAATTTAAAAACAGATCAGAGAAGAGGTGAAGCGGCGAATCCAATTGAAGTTCTCGATTTTCGGTTTTAGTGAGTGCGATTTCTCAGGGAAAATCCACTTTTCGTTGATTATATCTGCGATGCTCTGGTGGTACTGCAATAGGAAAGCAGGCATTTCACGAACTTACGATTGCCACAATGAACCATAGAACGATTTGATTTAAAACTGAATTGGATCGGAAATTAATAAAGTCGTGTTTCGCTTTAAACTTTGACAGCTTATGCTGCTCTTACAAAGTAGATTCGAAAATCTTTAGTAAATACAAGTAGACACTATTTCTAATTACATCACAATCCAAAGACATACTTGTAAAAATAAATTAAAGAATTTGGAAACAGTATTTAGTGAGTTATAATCACAATTATGGTTATAGGTAAACGACGATTCTTTCCATTTCATGATATGTTATGCCGAGTTATATTACTTTATAGCATTTTTATTTTTATAGAATTACTATGGTCGTATCACACCGTATCCGGATGAGAGCACCGTTGTGCGTAATGTTTTAAATGGTCAACCTGCTACTTTTCGTGTGGATTTCGCGAGTCCCGGTAACCCCCCTAAATTAACACTACTTTCACTGGACGGCAACGATTTATGCGTGGGTTCTGATTGTGAGTATTAAGTCAATATATAGTGAGTTTAATTATATAGAAAAATTTATATGCGTATAGCAAGCAGTTTCACCATAGTTGGGGGATTCTCTTGCTCGTGCAGGATTGCTGATTGCAAAGATCCTATATCTCGATATATACAAGGGCAACAGAGCACCCTTTGCAGAATCTAGTGATATATAATCGGCTGATTCGGTCAATTTATTTTAAAGGACTATTGTGCATGGCTATTGTGAAAAAAAACTGTAAGAAAACTTTATAATTTAAATATAAATTATAAAATCTATTTAGAATTTACATTCCTCATTAATTTAACGTTTTGGTCTGACATATTTCACAGCCGTTCCAAATAATTTTCTCCGTGTGTTTGTTGTTGTGCCGGTGCACCAAGAGGAAATTACTGCAATTTGTGCACCATGCAAGGGTTTTGCAAGAGCAAGAGAATGCCACTGTCACTTTGTGGTCTATGGGTAGAGTTTACAAATTCTTAAAATAAGTATGGATAGTTCAAAATAGTGAAGGATCTTAGCCCTTAAATAGCATTTCTAAAGTCAGTGGAAGTCTTTTTACCAAATTTTTATAATTTGCATCGTCTATCGGGTAAAAGAACTTCAAGTCATCAATATACTTTTTAGAATCGAACAATTGAAGTCAAGTGCTTCTATAGAAATAAAGGAAGTACCATATGTTCACAAAATTTCGCATGGGTTAAGGTCCAAACCACGGTGCAACGTCTGAAGAAATGGATCTGATAAAAGTTGATAAGACCGATCAAAGTATATGGAATGAGTCTTTGGTATTTGTGAAGGATATTATAGATTCTGTACAACCAAAGTCAACACTTTTTTTTTTGGTTTTTAATAACCTCTTTTACGCAGTCACTAGTGTTGCTCCTTCCTTAACTGAGTAACTGAGTAACTCAACCCTTTTTACACAATTTATATGTTTTTTAACAACACCAGAAAAGAGCCAATAAAAAAAATATAATAATTCTTTTATTTTCATCTTTCAGATCCACCACCGAAATCATGGGCAAAACTGTCTTACCAACTGTACACATATTATACCGCCGGAAATGGTTTAACGGGGCCGAATGTACCCAACTCCTTCTTTCAGCATAATCAACAAGCTCATACTAATCCACTATTCATCCCCATTAATTCCCTCCCCATTCCGAATGTTAGCAACAAATTCGACACACCAGCGGCAAGGCCAACAGAAGTCACGCCGAAGCCAACTAGCAACATAGGTACAGCATTAAATTCAGGGGATTTAGCAGAAGTTTGCGGCATAGAAGGTACTGTGGTACGCGGTTTTGTCTATGGAGGAGTTGAAGTGTTGCGTGGGCAGTTCCCTTGGTTAACGGCAATTTATAGTAAATACACAGATTCATTGAGTTTCATGTGCGGCGGATCTTTGATTTCACGAAGTACTGTAATCTCAGCTGCACACTGCTTTAAACGCTTACAAGCCGAGCAAATTGTGCTCTTCCTCGGGCGACACAATCTAGAGAGCTATAGCGAAGATGGCATTGTAACGCGAGATGCAAACAAACTCATTATCCATACGGATTATGTAGACGGCCAACCGAATGCTGATTTAGCATTAATACGAATTGAACCTCTCGAACAGTAAGTAAAAGAAAAAAATATTTATCTCAGATACTTTTGTACCTTACTCATTTGACGCAGATTTACGGAGTACATAAAACCGATTTGCTTGTGGAGTGAATTAGATGAGAGTTCGCTTATTGTTGGGAAAACTGCTTCAGTGGTCGGCTGGGGTTATGAAGGTGAAAAGGAAAGAGACATATCGCCGTTACCGAAAATGGTAGATGTCAAAATAGCTAGTAAGGGCGACTGCCTAAGTTCTTCCTTTCAAAGCCTTATCACGAATAATACATTTTGTGCCGGTAATCGTGATGGCACCGGACCTTGCATGGGTGACTCAGGTGGCGCTCTGATGTTGCAGCGCAATGGTCGCTGGCTTTTACGTGGTGTTGTGTCCTCAGGTCAGTCATCGGCACAGCGTTGCAATTTGTATGAATATGTTGTCTACTGCGATGCAGCGAAATATATAACATGGATTCGACAGAATCTTTAGGATTATTACTCGAATGTAGTTTGTTCTTTTAAACCTAATAATATAACAATTAAATGTTTATGAAAACAATACCGTAAAATATTTTGACTACAATTTTTTTAACTACTATAGTACTAAATATCGAGCATCATTTCGGAAAATAAATAGTAGCTGATCAGCTGTTAGGCAGGCATACGACGATGAATATTAAACGTCGTCGAAGTATAGCCAATCTCTACACCTCTATGAAATAGTATGCGGAGAAGAGCTTGTTCGTACTTCCGGCCTCGCACTTACAAATAATTGAAAATATATTTCAAATTAAGAAAAAAAGGTGATCACATTTTAGGTGATTTATATAGCAATGTACAATGTTCAATGAGCTATGAGACTAGCATATTTTGTTAGTGGTCCAAACGCCGGTTCGACTACTAATTGTCAACTTACTTAATTCGAATAATCAAATGCTCCTTTTGACCTCTAATTTTATTGAGTTTAAAATTCGTATTATTGCTGGACAGCAATATTCAAGTGCTTCCGTTGTCCAGATGGAAGCTTAAACGGTTAGTAAAGAGGCTCACATACACTATTGGTCCACTTGCTTTTATATCGTAGTCCATCGCTCCATCTTAATGCGTTTAGCTCCCATAGTGATCTAGGATTCACAAAAATATCTTTAACAATATCCACAAAGAAGGAAATATATTATTATTATGGAAACCGGAAACTTATAACTGTCAGAGCGATTACTTCACAATTAAAAGATCATAATGATATTGTCGTCGACGCTCTTTTCAGCACCGCAAATTTAGTTAAGTTTCACAAAATCAGCTGGTTCTCGACACCGTCACTGGCGAGATTGATCAACGAATGGCACCTCAAAGAAAAACCTAAGTTAAACGTTTTGTTTACACAACAAACAAAACAAAACAAAAAAATGAAAAAAATCACAAGAATTTCATGACTAATTGGGCATCAAGATTATTTGTTATTCTTGTTATTGGCATTCATTATTATTGGTTTTACGTCTTTTTGCATGTAAGTTTCGTGTATGTTGTTGCTGGAATTAACTTTGTAAAGACAGCAGCTTTACTTCACATTTTAATTCTCTCAAAATTTCTGTTGGAGACTAAATTTTGAAAATTCTTTTGAACTGGAGCTGCTCAGAGTATATAAGCGTTAGATGGTTCGCAGTTGAGCGTGGTGTTCGCCAGTTCGCTCATTCAGTTCGCGATGCTCAGCGTGTTGAGATACTAGCAAATTAGCGCGGTTTCGGAAACGGGGATGTTGATCTTTCAATAGCCAATAGGGTGACGCAAAATACAAGTACGACCAGTATAAAAGTACTTAGGGAAAATATTATTATTTTTAATGTGTGGTGATTATAAATTAATTTGCATTTATTGACAAAGCGCAGCAAAAGTTCAAAATATTTAGTATAAAAGAATCCTAATATAATAAATAAAAAAATAAATGTTAACAGAATATCAGTGAGACCATGAAAAATAAACACGAGTGAGAAAAGGCTGAAACGAAACCGAATCTAAACAAATATTTAAGCTATAGTGAACTTCATAATAAATCTCGCATACATAAGCTCTTATAGTGAAATGTTACACACTGTTCTGCGCTGTTCCGCTTTTGTACTCTTCTTATTGCATTTATGGCGCCTGCCAATTACTGCCAATGCTCAGGAAATACCTTCGATTGCCTGTCCCAACTACTTCCAGTACCTCAACTATGGTAATGGATACATCGGCCGCATTACATTGCCCTTATCTATGAGCAGTACTCAACTGGATGTGCGCTTCTCGCAGAGATATCCGGTACAATCGGTAAGTTCAGTATAATCAATAATAACAATACAAACTGTGGAAAACGCTAAAGTAGCTTAAGTAAAAATCAATGAGGATGAATGCAGAACTACCTTACCCGCTTCAACTTACCCTAACATCATGAAACGGGTTGAGTCTGATTATAACTAGGAAACTTTACCATAGTGTATGCGAAAATATCTGTTATGATATTATATATTCTCATAGAATTTATATGGACACTAATGGTACTTGAAATCGAAATTTGGTTTAATACTTACTAGCTCTCTCCAATAGGATAGTCGACCAGCTTTACATAAGCCTCGTTTTCCCCTAGCTTATCTAATAAAGTAAAAAGAGTGTTGAACTATATTTTTTCCGATTCAAGTGGTTTCCTTTAATATGGTTCAATAGAAATCAAAAACAATAAAAAACGTAAACTTCGGTTGCATCGGAGCTATAATACCCTTTACAAATACAAAAGCTTTCTAAGAAGAACTTTGATCGGTCAGTTTGTGTGGCAGCTTTATGCTATAGTCACTTGTTCATATTTTTCGTAGACTACAAAGCTTTAGGCAAAAACCTGTGCCGAATTTGGTGAAGATATCTTCGCAAATAGAAAGATAAGTACTTTAATCTGATCGGTCAGTTTGATATAGTGGTTCAATATCGAATGTTCCAACAAATGAGTAATTGGTGAGAAAAGAACGGTTGCAAAATTTCACTAGTTCGTATATGGTATACAGTAGGACTGACGGACATGGCTAAATCTGCTGAACTCATTACTTTCATTTATATATGTACATATATGTATGTATATACTTTGTAGGGTTCTGATGTTTCATATTGCATGTTACCGTGGCAAACTTAAAATAACCTGTAAATGGTATAAACAATCAGCGGCAAACGGAATTTTTTGGCACTTCAAATAGTTGGCGAATATCGCTCAAGACAAGACGACTTTTATTGTAGATTGGTTCAATGTTGTATTCATTTCTACAATAATTCAGCAAATACACTTTGTCTGAATATCGATGAGTACATTTTCTTGTTGTTATTTTATTTGTTGTAGCAAAAATTAAAACTTATGCAATACAATACTATTCGTCGCAGTAAACACGATTAATAAAATTAAAAAAATGTTGTTGAGAGGCGTGATTCTTTGCAATGTGCGTCTTAAATAAAAATAAACGCTTGACGTGTGTGTACTTGACAGTACTTGCACTCACATTGGGACAAAAAAGCACCCGGAAATTGTAGTTAAATTCCCCAAACAAATGATATTTCAAAAAAAGTATATATATATATATCGAACAAGAAAGTTGTCTCAAATTTTGTGTATCTAACCAGATTATGCTTATCAAAAACACAAGACGGTCGAGAGATAGTTGAAGACATGCTTCGTTCTGGAGGACCGTCGACCTCTTCAACTATTGAATATTTTAAAAAAGTGAAAGATAGTGCTTGATAGTGCTAATCAAGCAAGTGTTAGGGAGATGGTAAGAGAGCACATCTCCCACGAGTCAGTTCGAATTATTTTGAGTATGATGCATTACTCCTGTGACTTTGTAAGGTTCCAAAAACTGAAATTGCCTGTCTGTGGAGCCCGTTTTCAGTCGGTCGAAGAGTTAAAACTAAAACTCGCTGAAGGCCATCCCAAAAAGAGCTTATAAAATGTGTTTCTAGAACTGAAAAAATCATTGGTATAAGTGTACAACATCTGGAGGTGATTATTGGAAGGCGACAACATAAATATTAATGAATAATTTAGTGAGTAGACAAAATCAATATTAATGAATAATTAAGTAATTTGCGTTTTATTTACAATTACTGGTTACTTTTTTGTCACAATGTATACCTTATTATTATTATTCATGAAAATCTCGGCGTCACTTCGCCGTCTTCATGAAACCGCTTAGCTCGGTCCAACTGGTTTTACCAAATATTGAGGAATTATTAATATACTCGTCACATGTGAATACATTCATATATACATCTGAAGGAAATAAAAGATTTTGAGCGACAAGCATCTAAAATGTAATAATAATTCTCAATTGAAGTCATAGATGAAATCGTGATTATGTTTTTATTTACCGGTTTCGCATCATTGATCAAAAACTGGAAACACCTAAACGTTCATTTGTCTTTTAATCAAAAAGATCTGATGTTAGCAAATTTCCCTGAGAATGTACAAGTATTTGGGTTGATTGGAAATAGATGTTCATGGCTTTCCAAGCTCGTGCCGGTTTGCAAATATATATAATATATATTTTTCAATAATTCAATGGCTCGCAATAAATGCAAAAGTTGTAAGCGCCAAATTATCATTTTTGTACCTAACAAAGCGGATCTACAAATAAAATGAACAAAAAAAAAAAAAAACTGCAAACCGGACCAGCAAAATAAATGATGTTCATATTGACTTTCTATGATACAGGTACATGCAGTTTACATTTCTAAGTAAATTTTCTTATGTAGAAAGCAAACAAAGCTGTTTTATTACATCTTTTTACATCCAAAAGCTTTTATTTTATTCATACCCCCACGATCTGTTACCAGTACGAGAGCAATAAAGTTGAAACAGTTCATACACCGACCAATAGTTTTACAGCTTGACAAACAGAAAGACAGCTGTCAGATAAGTTTAAGTTAAACACTTAGAAAAGTAAAACCCAAATGTTGAGAAAATTGTGACTTATTTCCTAACCTAGCCTCCCTTTAGCGTGATAAACTTGCTCAAGCAATTCCTAAATTGTCAGAAATAAATTTTTCGGAAGTCTGCAAAGAAGGCCTCCCTTGTCAATGTGAACGATTTTTTTTTTTTTTTTGTTTTTGCGGGTGAGGGGGTGGAAAATGCCTTCCGCATCATCGGTGCTATCGTCACAGCAGCGGTATGTGCCACTTGCAGGTCACTAAAAACCCCCCCTCTAAGGAACCGTCGCCCACCCTGGGACCGCTTTT